ACCAGGTCTTTCTTCCACAGGGCACAGTGGCCTCCTGGTTATTGGGGACCGGGGGCCTGGTCTTACTAGTCCTGTGCTTTTCCCTTGGCGGAGTCCATGAAGAGTTGCCTGAGCCGGTGACGGCACTGGCCTCTCAGCTGACCTTGGCACCGGGGTTCTCTTCCCTACCAGCTTGCACACCTGTAATTGCACCGAGACAGCCCCTTCTCAGAGGGAGCCCAGCTGGCATAGTGGTTATGCACTGGGCTGTTCACTGCAAGCTCAGCGGTTCAAAGCTACCAGCTGCTTCTCGGGAGAAAGAGGAGACTTTCTACTCCCATAAAGAGTTCCAGCCTTGGAAACCCACGAGGGCAGTTCTACTGGATCCCATAGGGTCTCTGTGACGCACTCGGCGGCAGTGAGGTTTGGTTGGTTCTGGTTCCTGCTTCAGTCTTGGTGGTGCCATGGGATGTGTGTGGAGCAGCTAACTCCGGGAGCGTGGGCGGCACGTGGGGCTGCTAGCCACAAGTCAGCAGTTTGAAACCACCAGCAGCTCCACGGGAGAAGGAGGAGGCTTTCTACTCCTGTCTCAGAAACCCACAGGGGCAGCTCTGCTCTGTCCTAGCCGGTCGAGATGCGTTCATGGACAGGAGGGCAGCGAGTTACAGCATCTGGCATCAGCCTCTCCAGCACAGTGGAGCTGGATGCAGGACGTTGTATAAAACTATAAGCATTTTTTTTAACCTCAAACTGGTTCACTATATGAAATCATTCACTACATCAAAAATGAACCATCATTTGTGCTAGCCTTACACGTTATTAAAAATTACTCAAGTGAACTCATTTTCCCAAGGTGGCAACAACCTGCCTTCCAGCAACAGTAGGGCCAAGACAGCCCAGTGGGTGGCTGCATGTGTTAGACAGACTGGGCCGTTTGGACAGGAGGAACAAGCAGGAAATGCCCCCTCGCCCTCTGTCCTCCTCGGGCCAGGACCACGACAAGCAACGGCAGCTGCCGTCAGAGCTGGCGGAGTCAAGGTGACCCTCTGGGCTGTGCCCCGCAGTGTTTTGCAGCGCTGCCCTTTCAGAGCCAAGGTGGCTCTCTAGGCGGGTGGGCATGCCCACCTTTCCCAATAGTGGCTGCGTGACCAGCCTTTCCCATGACTCAGGACCTGGACAGGCGCTCAAGCATCTGTTGTCAAATGAGTGGTAGATGTTTCCAGCTCAATATGTTAGATGTAAATATTTCCGTTCTGACACAAGCCACACCACACACCTCTGTCCATTTCCCCCACCCCTCACCCCTGCCCCCTCTCCCCAACTGACTTTTGCTTATTCCCAAGCAAGTGCCCTCCAGGGGGACCTACATCGACCACCGTGCCACAGGTCTTGAGGGAGAAGAGGATGTTGACATGGGTGCCATTGGATACCCCTTGGCAGGAAGTGTTCGTCAGGAAGAGCTCCAAGCCACCAACCAGGTCCCTGGGGATGTTCACTTCAATGGTGTCGGACTTGCACGAAACAGGGACTGTGGGGAAAGGTGGCCACTGTTAGAATCGGGCAACCTGCACTGGGGGAAGGGTCAGGAGAACTTCTTCTGAAACCTCAGCTTTTTCTTCCTACCACCAAGGAAATCTATAGAGCTCAAAACAAGTTCCCAATTCAAACCAAGACTTCTGAATCACAAGGTTGCTACCCAGATGTACTGTTCCCAAGCCAGGGAAGAACCCATTCGTGCGTGAACCCAGCATGCTTGCCTCTCAATCTGTGGAGAGCTCAACTCCCGACAGCAATATCAAAAAGATTCATGCTGAGCACAATACCATTTCTTGGCCATCCAGAAAAAGCACTGCTTTGATTTTTCTTGATGATTGCCCCCATAAAACAGAAGTCATAAAAGCAGTGGTAGCGTGCTTTCAGATTTCCAAATTGCCTTTGCATTACCCAGTGAAACATTAACGCTGACCGTAAATCCCACGTTAACACAATATTAAAAAAAGATTGCTTTTCCTTAGCATCCCACGCTGACTTCTCCAGCCTCTACATCCCCCTTAGAGGAATGCGTACGGGTACGATACCCTAACACCGTTAGCGGCTACAGAACCCAAAGCTAAGGGCTCACGAAACATTTGCCAGGTAACGGAGGGGCTGTTCTGGACAGCTAGACTTCCAGAAACTTGTTCTCAGAGGATTACTGAAGCCTGCATTTTAAGGGCAGGGAGAAGATTCTATTAGTTAGGTTCTCAACCTGTAGGTCTCGACCCCTTTGGGGGTCGAACGACCCTTTCATAGGGGTCGCCCGATTCATAACAGTAGCAAAATGACAGTTATGAAGTAGCAAGGAAAATAATGTTATGGTGGGGGGGACATGAGGAACTGCATTAAAGGGTCGTGGCATCAGGAAGGTTGAGAACCTCTGAGTTAGGACTTTCATTTAGTTTCCCAACCTAATTATCTCTTAGAAAGGAGACGCCATTGGGCATAGACCTGTGCCGATGTCTCCTTCCTCCCAGTGGCGTGCTCGCTGCACAGGTAAGCAGAGCACCCAGGTGCAAAGCAAAGGACCATGAGCTTGGTGGTGAGCCTTTGTCACACCTCTGCTCTTGTGATCGATTCCAGAGTCAAAATGCTCCTTGGAGAGCTGGCGTGTCCAAAGATGAGCAAGAACCCTGAGACCCTGGTGGGGGTGGGGTGTGTGTGTGTAATAAAGGAGAGGTCACGCCTGTCCCCATACTACCTTGGCAAGTGTGGTTGTCCTCAGACAGCACCAATCCTCGGGGACATTCGCACTGGTAACCCTTCTTGGTTGCAAGGCAGGAATGGCTGCAGCCGCCATTGGTGTTGTGGCATCCCTCAATGTCTGCGGCAGAAACCAAAAGACAAGTGGGCCGTCTGTGAACCTGCTTCCCAGGAAGACCAGCTCTTGGGATGGTGCTGAGGGCTGACTTAGGGATTACACTGGACTCATCTCAGCACGCTGAGACCCAGTCGGGCCACTGAGAAGTCCATAAAGGGGGTTATGTAATGTTTCAGCTACAGAAAGCAATCTTATGACATCCACAGCTCTACCCACTGAGAACTTTCCTCCTGAAGGAATAAAAAAGAAGATCAAGTACAAGAAGGCTTTTTATTGAAATTTGGTGAGAGGAACTCAACTCTAATAATGCTTCTTGCTAGACTATTTCCCCAGAGCTGTGATGTACAATTGTTTATTACTGTTAAGCTGGAATTCATAAATGGATGCTAAAAATAATTTTATTAATTAAACTCCTTATGTTAAAACTTTAAAATGTAAAGTTTTCAAATTGCAGAAATTTGTTAAAGATACTACAGAGAATGACTGACTATCCTGCTAAGCTCCTGTTATTGCTATCTCATGTTGCTATGGTTCATTTGTAAATTAATGAGTCAAAGCTGTTATATAATTATGAACTAAAGTCCACAATCAGGTCAGTGCTCCTAATTTTTTATCTAATGTCCCTTTTCTGTTCCCAGATCCTCTCTAGACTACATGTCTCAATTCCAAGCTCACTACTACTGAGTGGATTCTGACACACAGTAACTCGGTAGGAAACCTCTGTGGGTTTCCCAGACTGCAACGCTGTTCAGGAGTAGAAAGCCTCGTCTTTCTCCCACTTGATCTGTCTAGACGGTGATAATTCATGACACTTTCATTGTTTTTGATGATCTGGATGGTTTGAGGAGTGGTATTTGTAGGCTGTCCCTCAATTTGGGTTTGTCTGATTTCCCCCCTTCATTATTAGAAGAGGGGAAGATCCAAAAGTCATTTTTCCATTGATGTTACATTCCATCCAGCCTCTTGGAAACACTGTGGGCATTGTGGATGCAGGGAGACGGGCAGAGTCAATTCAACGGGACACACTGGAGGATCTCCTGTAGCCAACTGGCAGGACCAGGCTCTCTCTTAGGAACAAGGGCACTGGAAGAGGGCACCCCATAAAAGTGGGGCCTGGGCGACACACTAAGAGAGTCTACTTTTGGTGACATTCCTTTACCGGGCAGCTTTAGAAAGTTTCCTTTTCTCAAATTTGTGTTTAAAAAGCATACTTAGTCAAATGACCCCCAAAAAGTCTATTAAAAAATGAAAAACAAACCAAAACTATAACTTAGCTCATCTCAAACTTAACCAAAGACATTATCTGGGCATTATCCCTGAGTCAGGAGCCCTGGTGGTTTACTGGTTACACGCTAGGCTGGGATTCACATGGTTGACAGTTCGAAACCACCAGCAGCTCCCTGGGAGAAAGACACAGTGGGTCCCTGTGAGTCAGCACTGACCCCAGGGCAGAGTTTGGTTTGTGAGTTTGGGTTCTCTCTTCAGTCAGGCACCCTCAGTTTTGTTTTTCAAAAAAGTTTAATTGGAATCATGCTATGCTCACGTGTGTGCCTCTTGTCTATGGCTGCTTTTGCATAGCAGGAGCAGACTGGAATTGCTTTGACAAAGCCCAAGTTGTTTACTCTCTGGCCTTTACAGGAGCCATGCTGACCTATTTTCCAGGGAAAGATAACGGGAAGAACTGTTTTCAAATCACCTAAATGGCTCAAAAAGGACACATACATCTCCAGTTGTAAACAGACCTCTTTCCCTTCAATACTAATTAAAAGATTATTTCTTTGGAAGATCATCAAATAAACTTGAGACGAATCCATTTTTGGAGACTTCATAGAGAGGCTAAACTGACCATGGAGTTGCCATCCCAGAACGGGAGAGATGGTGGTACCTCGCGTTTACACATCTGTTCATTACAGTGGACGACCGTAGCCCGGTGAGTCTGTGGGCAGTGCATAACTAAGCGTAGCAGGACAGGCCTAGCTCGTTCCTTTGCACTTTGCCCGGCTGTGCTGCCCAGACTGTGTTCCTTATGTCAACCCCAAGTTCCTTGTGGCAACCCCAAGTCAAGCCCGCCTCCAAGTCGAGGCCCATTTTCCCCGCAGTATGCGCTCATTCTGTGTTGTTGCGTTACTTAGGACAATTCTCACAACATTTCACGCTTTTCAATAAGCTGTTCCATACGTAATAGACTAGGAGAGTGTAAACATAACTTTTTTATGCACTAGACAAAAATGTGTGACTTGCCTTACTGCTCGGTTTGCTTTATCACTGCGGTCTGGACCTAACCCTGCAATGTCCCCAAAGTCCGAGCTTTCAAAAGGCTCCTGGGACGAAAGGATTAAAAGAGAATTTGTTTCCATGAACTTCTGAAGACCCCTGGTATGCCTATATAGAAAAAGCATGGACATATACTAGTAGTAGATGTGAAAAATCACCATGAATCATTTCCCCCCCTTAAAATCGACCTTTCTTAATTCACTTAACTTCTCTGAGTCTCCTGTTCACTATGGGTAACATTAAGGGGTTGGAAGAAATGTTCACCAGGACATTTCCACGATATCTAAAAATGCAAAGTACAAATCAATCGAAATTATAAGTTGACTTAAATATCAGGATATATCACAATGTTTAGGATGGACATGTCTGACAAGTGAGGGTATGAGTCATTTAAATGCTCCTCTCTGACTTTGTTATTGCTAGTGCTGTTCAGTCAAAAATACAAGGACACTGTCCTGTCCCGGGCCACCCTCACAACTGTATAATCTCCTGTCAGCAATATAAGGGTTTTGTGACAAAACAAAATGACACACGTTATTTAAAGGGAAAAAACATTTTTTTAATTTAAAAAATATGATCATTTAACAGCCTACTTAAAGAGACAAATATGTTCAGGGTTACAGATGGGAATATTAATCCTGAATTGTAGCTCAGATACCATTTTTATCTTCTGCTAAAATAGTTTTGAGTTATGATGATTATGTTTTAAGATTATATGAACATGAACTATAATATTTCCAATAAAATCCTCACAAATAATTACATGAGCAGAAGGGATAATGTCCTACAGGGAACATCCATTAATATTCAAATATGGAAAGAGTATTGCTTGGAATAATGAAGATTTGAAGGGAACTGAGGACATTATTCTCACTCAACAACATTTTAAATCAAGTTAGTCTTGTTCCACAGGGTCTCTGAAAAGCTCCTGCGGCTGGGTCGATGTTAACTCACAGAGACTCCACGGCGCAGAGCAGACCTGCTACAGTGGGTTTCCGAGCCTGGTTCAAACCGCTGACCTCGTGGGTAACAGCCCAACACGCCACTCCCTCTGCCATGAGGGCTCCCACGACCAGGGATAAGAGTTGAACATTACGGTTGAGGGCCTCCTGGTTAATAATGCGTAAAGTTTCTGGCACAGAGTAAAATGTGAGAGCCAGTCATAATTTCTCCTTTCAGGGAGCATTTTATTACTGTGAAGCTAACTAGAATAAAGTAAACTCTTTCTCAGCAGGGGCCCCGTGGGGCCGCTAACCGCAAGATCCGCGGCCCCATCCTCACAGGTGCTTCTTGACAGATGGGTCGTCTGCTCCTAAGGCCTACAAAACGCTAGTGGGCAATTCCACTCTGCTCACCAGCTAAGGGAGACGGCGATGGTACAGCTGACGAGGCTTTAATTCTGTCGGAGAAAGACAGGGCTTTGTCTCCCATAAATAGTTACAGCCATGGAAACGCACAGGGCCCGTTCCACCCTGCTGGTCAGGGTCACCACCAGCCAGTATTAACTCGACGGCCAGGAGTTTGGAGAAAGACTGATGCTACAAAAGTAGATCATCTGATGTGGTGGAAAGACGTGCAGTTGTTCACTACAGGGCATTAAGTAAACACAAGGAGGTTCACCTTGCCTCCCGGGTGGGCAATCAGATACAAACTACAGGGTTGGGACCAGCTGAAATGGGCTCTCTGGCAAGTAGATGGTG